ACTGAGGGCATACTCTCAATAGGACTGTTTGGACTCAGCTCTGGAGTCATTCTTGAGTGGTGTATGAGTAGAAGGGTTGAGATTACTTGGAGGTGTCTATTCAGGGAGTTGTAGGGGAGGAGATGATGGCGCCATTACACTAAAACTGATGTCGCCATTACACTAAAACTGATGTCATCATCTTCTTTTATATTTCCATGTTGTGATTTTCTCTGAGTCATTCTTGTCCAGGTGCACCAGGTCGGGTTGTAATTGCAATCAGTTACACCCAGAAAAGCCCTAGTGTAAGCACATCTCATCCAATTGCATGAGGATGTTTTTAACCTCCTTTCTCCCCAAGGATATTTCATGTGTTGGGGTACAGGTGCATACTGACAAGTAAAGTACCCCCCAACACAAGGTACACTCATCATTACTGTTTTCCATGGGAAAGCTGGCTTGTATAAATTCGTAATCGGGGATCCAAAAAGTTTGGGGTAGGATGGTAGACAGGTTGCAGAAGCCTGATTTGTTGAGAAAGAAAATGAAAAACCAAGGGTCACAACGGAGCCTCCAACCCCCAAGGCCAGATCCCATGTGCACACCACCCACCAGTTCCGAGTACCCCCAATTTTCCAAAGTTTGCAGCTAGAGGCCACGTGCACGCCACCCACCAGTTCACAGTACCCCCATCTCCACAAACTTTGTGGCAGTATACAAGGAGGCTGCACTTTTGATGCGCTAGCCTGCCTGCAGCTGGTTTGATTCCTCAGAATTTTGAAAATTTGAAAGCTCAGTTTCAGATGAAAGTCACCCGTTGCATTTCAGAAAAAAAGAAAAAGACAACTAAAAAAGGAAATACCCGTTGCAAGTGGGACCTAGCCAGTTTCTCCTCTTCCATGCAAGTGGGACCCCACCCCATCTCTCCCACTCCAGATGTTGCGAACAGGCCTTTATATCTGCACAACCCCCAAGTAGACCCTTGACTTCTTTTCTTTTTTTTTGGCTCTGCGACGGAATGAAGACCGTCCGAAATTGCTGTTTAGGCCTGGACCCCACAGGAATGCAGCAAGGAAAAGTTTTGCCGCGGAATTGTTTCTGGGAACCCACATGCCCCCGAAGAGGTCGTGGAAAGGTTCTGTGTTTTCCGCAGAAGTGTTCCGCAAGGCCCCACATGCCGTGCTTTTTCGCCTGGAAAAGGATGGAACTCCATTTCCACATGCTCTGCGGTGTGGAAAAGCTCCGCGGGAGGGATTTCCGCTGCAATATTGTGCCAACTCTCGAACGTTGGGGGGGGGAGCATCCCGAAGGTTTCCAAGGTCTCGACCACAGGCCGGACAAAAAGATGTCCACCTAAGCGTTTGCTCGGGTCCTGGAGAAGCAGTTTGTTTCATGGAGGCTCAGCCTGTCGCACGGTGAGACAGGGCCCACCTTCGGTGACCCCACATCACCAGCCAGCAAACGGACGTTGCTGGTTACTATGCTCCGCGCGTGGTCACTCGGACAAACCACCACTTTCCATTTCGGGGCGCTTGGCGGGCACATTTCCTATACGGAAAACTTTATCAGCATTTTGCCGCAAAACTCCCTCCGCTGTGCGGTCCCGCAGAAGGCTTTCCAAACCTTCCAAAAACTCTTCCGACCACCGTTCTGCGGAAACATCTTTTCCAAAGGAATTCCTGTGCGGTCCAGGCCTTAGTGTGCTAAGCCCACAGTATTCTTTTTCTTCTTTTTTTTTCACACAAAAAAATGGCTACTTGTTTTTTTCTTTTTTTTCTTTGGCAGCCACCCACAGTAATCGGCCACTCCGTTGTCCAGATGTACCCCTCTGAAGACCCTACCCACCCTTCCTCTCATCTTTTTGCCCTGGCGCACCCTCAACCCCCCTGACCTACCCTAGTGTTAACCACCCAGGACCATCACCCTGTGACGCCCAACCTCACGCCCGGCGCGACTTCCTGTTCGGAGTGGGATGTGGGCCTGGAAGTGCGAAAAGGGGTGTGCCAAGGATTTTTGGGAAAGTGGGGGTGGAGTCCCAGGTCAGAACTGAGATCTCCTGTGGCAAAGTTTCAGGGGCATAGATGCAATAGAGCTTAAGGGGGCGAGTGTCTCATGGCAGTCGAGGTCGTGCAGCATAAGGCAGATGGCATGCGCGGTGCATTCAAGGCCGTCCGATCCGTCTGTTTTGGTGGCGGCGGTTCGGGGAGAGACCCGCCCGGGATGGTTGTGATTCCGATGAGTCGGGCCTTCGGGTGCAGACACGTGGCGTCTGTCGTCGCGCGTTTTGGTTAGACCCCATAGTGTCAGAGGCTTGTCGGTTGCCGCGTCGCCGGCAATTTCCGCAAGGCGTGCGGGGCCAATACGGGGCGATGGAATTCCACGATACCACCGTGAGTTGATGATATGGAAGGAGGATACGGAAGGGAGGGAAATTGGTAGTGATAACAACAAAGCCGGGGGATATGAAGTATTGTGTGTTATCCGTAGTGGAAAAATTGGGGCACCTTGGATCGCTGGTTACAGCACAGTGAAACTCCCTGAAGCACAATCGATTCCCGGTTAGGCAGGGGAATTTCGGGTATCTTTGCCTTATACATTCTCTCACCCAAGGGTCGAAGTACTCCGAGTCCCAAGAGCTCGGCATCTTGTCATTGCGGCGTAATGGATGTCAGGTTTGTCTATAGTCGCGAATCGGCACGCGTGGACACGTGTAGGCTGTGCAGATCGAATCACGCTTACGCGTATCCCCGCGGGGTGTTCGCTTGTTTCTGGGAGAATGAGAGCCTAATTCCTTATGCAAAATCGTCGTGTGCCATAAACAACTACCCAATCATCTTAATCACTCAGTGATTCGTGAGCTATCACTCCCGAGCATGCAAGGTGTTATCATGCACCTGACCTTTCAGCGATATCCGAACAATGGCGGACCAAAAGTGATAAGCAATAATAACGACTATGCAAAAAGGGTCTCTACTATGCTTATGGGTGTATCAATATGGCAAGCAAAGACAAGGACCAGACAAAAGAAAAGCAACAGACATAACATTCATTCATCTACCCATTTGACAAAACACACACACAATAAACGAGATCAAGATCAATCGCAAAACAAGTATGGGTTGAAGCCGAGACAAGAATTCCGCAAACAAAAGAAAACGGGCGAGTCGCCCTGAGCCGAGATCAAAATTTATATACAAAAGCAAGGATGGAGACAAGACAAAGAAAATTGCAAATCCACGTCCATCAACCTCAGCTCCCTCTTTCTCTCTCTCTCTCCGATGCGGACAGTCCGTTGTCACGCACCAACCCACGAAGTCGTCACCCCGCTTAGTCATCCTGCACTCGTCGGGTTTGTCCGCGCGCTACAGTCCGTCATAGCCCCACGCGTCAACCCCGCGCATTCGGCACCAGCTCGGCGGATCGCCCGACTCCCACTTCAACTCACCTCTTACTTTGTTCGTGAGCCGACCCTCATTGATCGCTCTACCTTGAGCTTCCAACAATTGGTTAAGAGAGCTATCTAATCGCGCAGCCAGAATTTACAGCGTGCATGCATGCGCGAAAAACACGGAATTGCAAGAACTTTGAAAGGGGGTTAGGAGAGGGAGCGCCTACGTTCTGCATGGCCAGACCGCGGCGTGGGGGACGTAGCCACTCTCCACGCATCGATCCGAGCATGCAGGCCGCCGGACTAACTAGGCACAACAAAAGGGAAAGAGAGAGCGGGAAAGAAGAAAGATATTGTTACAATGGCGCCCGCCCAAAAATTACAATTACTTGCAAGATTAAGGGCGCCGACTAATCAGAGCTTCATTGCAGCCGCAAAAAAAAAGCGCGCAAAAAAGACACGCGCGGCCAAAAACATCTCGAATTCCTAAATTTCTAAATTCCTAAATTCCTAGCTAATGCAAAAAGAAGCACAAATTCTGAAAAGAAAATCCGAATTTCCGAGAGCCATCAAGGGTTCGACAAGATTCGAAAAAGAAATTCAAAAGGAAAGAAGCAAAATTCCCGCGCGACCTCCGCGCTAAAAACCCGACAACAGAATCAAGAAAGAAGCGACGTCAAACATTATTATTCGCGTCTTTATCGGCGCAACAGCCACTCAATCGGCCATCTCGGGACTTGCCCGGCCCTGAACCCAGCCATCCGAAAAGAAGCGACGAAAGAGAAAAGACGAAAGAAAAAAAAAAAAAGGCAAGGACACTGATGCAATTTCCCTTCGATCCCGATCTCCCGTAATTGGCCCAACCTTCCCATCTTAGGACCCCTCATTATCATCGCGTAGAAAATCGCGCGGAATAGAAATTGGTCCGTCACATATGTGACGCCCAGGGGGTTCCAATCTTAAGCAAGCTCCTGCTTGCTTGAATCATGACACGTGTCGATCTCTCTAATCGATCGACACGCGGAGTCTTCTTTGTTGCCACTTACCATCCGATAAGAGTGTGGACGTCATCCAGGGTGGCACACGTGGCTCTTATCCTACAATTTCCTCAGGATGGGCTCTCTTCAGTCCGAGGAGGGGATCGTGCGTGCCATCACCGTGGCACGTGCCAATCAACCATACATCAATGTCCTAAGGGAAGGGGAAAGGGAAGACGATACATAGGGGCATGGCGAGGGGGTGGGTTAGTTGGGAGTGGGGGCAAGAAGCGTTCTAATCCCGCGACTGTCTCCGGAAGCTCCTGATATCGGATGATCCGGTGGAAGCGAGGGAATCGATTACCACTATGAGGGAGGGAGGCGAGATAGTCTAAGTAAAAGGTGGTGAAAGTTCGGAAAAGCGTCGTGCGGAAGTGATCGTGATTTTCGCATGCGGGGATAGTCCCCGTGATCATGCAGTAAACCTCGACCATGTTGTGGCCTCGCCACGCGGCGCTGAAGAGAAGGGCGTGGAGACAGAAGACAGGGGTGGCACACCGGGTAGAAGGAAGGGGATGAACCGTGACAGCAAGACGGGTGGCGTAGAAGAAGCGGAAGGTGTCGATTGGGAAGGGATTGCAAGGGAAAGTGATGCGGGTTGTGATCTGGCAGAGGGTGGGGTGGTCAAGGGGACGACGAGATAAGGACCAGGGACGAAGCCCGATGCCCCGCATCGGTACGAGCTCGAACTGGTGGACGGGTTGAGGTGGAGGGGGAGGGGGATTGGCTTCGTCGCCATCGGGCCGGTGCGCTCGAAGTCTCGGTAGCAAGGTCCCCATCGTCGTTCTTGGGTGGCTCGGGATCCTTGGCTGGGTCGTTCGGGATCGGCAAATCCACTCCACTGGCGAACTCCAGCGGCTGCTTCCCTACTGCGATCTCTTCTCTTCTTCGCACTGCCTCGGGATCCTCCTCATGAGGCTCTGCGCGATCCGTCTCTTCACCTAAAGTCTCCCACTCAGACTCCTCCTCTTCCTCCAACTGATCTTCTTTTTCTTCTTCCTCTTCGTCGCTCTGTTCTCCCTCGCTGTGCTCGCTGTAACTTCCTTCTTCCGGGGTTTCCTCTTCTTCTTCCTCGTCGCCTGCCTCTTCGTCCTCTTCCTCCTCCTCCTCTAGTGTTATCGCTTCGTCCTCGGAGGGAGTTTGAGGCTGAAAGAAGGCGATGTCGATTATCCCCTGGGGGTCCAGGTATGGTTGTTGCGATGGCGGGTTGTTGTTACCTGCTAGCTCCTCGAGGCAAGCCGACCACTGCAGGTAGGGTGTCAGAGTTCGTGATAGGACGTGCGGGACCGGGCTCTCGTCACACTGCGAAACGATATCGAGAGGGAGATCATCGGCCAGCTGCACGAGGGGAATTGTGAGCTCTTGTACGATCTGCTGTCGATGGCCGGGCCGCACCGATCCGAATAAAAATCTGAGGAGGTCTCTTTCCCCCCCCATCCTCCAAGCTTGGATGATCAACAACTCCACGTATGCGACCCAAGCGCGGTGCTCTATGTCCCTCGTCCATGTCAGCTGACGCGTCGTCCCTTATACTCATGGCATGAACCTTCTATCGCAATCCATTGATGTCGGTCAGGCTCCACCTGGTAAATTTGGTAGATCCGGTACCCTCCAAGTGTCATCTTCAAGGAAGTAAAGGCCCAATACTAAAGGGCAACGTAAGGCTGGAGCCGCCCTACAGCAGACCCCTCCCCATTCTCGACGTCCCCAGCAAGCCATCTCAGTATATCGAGGAAAAAGAAGGAAATGTTGACTCCTAATCTCTATCAATCAACCCCAAGATTGTCCTCACCGCTTTTCGTCGGGTCCTTTTCTCTTGTTTTTTTCCCTTGTCCCGCTTTTTCTTAATCATCTTCCTTTTTACCCCCAATCGTTTCTTCGTCCTCTGTCGTCTCTTCCCACGACGGTGTTTGTTCTCACCTTTGTCCTGTGTGTCCGATTTTGAATTCAACGCGGGTTCAGCGTTGAAAAATTCAACGTGTGTTTAATTCACGTAATACTCTCGTTCAAACGCGCGTTGAACGTGAATTAACGGGGTCCGCGATGATTTTTTTTCCTGGGCTAAACATTATCTATAAAAAAAAAAAAAAAAAAAAAAGGGTTGTAGGTCTTTTTGAGGACTACAACCCTATATTTGTATTTTTATTTTTTGATGTTTAAATATGTTTTCAAAAAATCAAAACATAAACATACAATGAAAAAACAAAAACTAAAATTAAATGAGTATTTTTTTTTGGGGTTTCACACATATTTTTTAAGGGCTAAAAAAAAAAAAAAAAAAAAAAAAA